AAACAGAAGACAACTGACATAGAAGTTCTTATATGCAAGCACTGTCGCCTTGTGAGTCGGGACTCTTTTCCAGAATTGTCTTTTTCTGAACCAAGTGTCGGAAAGTCTCCAGAACTCAGAGAGAACCCATCCTTCTTGGAGGTTGCCACTCCCTGCATACATAATATGTTAGGTCAAGTTGCCAAGACATAATGCAGCAACCTCAACAGGAGTAACTACTATAAACACAAAAAGGGTTAAAAATGAAAAAAGGCAGCTCCAACTAAGAAATCTAATCATTCATATAAATAAGATTTGAGACAATGTATTGCAGCAATTTTTTTAATAACTAGAAGCAAGACAATAAATATTTTTTTAACTAAAAATTTATAACATGAATATTTAATACTGAACTTAGTTATGCCATCCTACCAATATCTCTGAGACACCAGTTGGACCCCATGCAACTGAATTATCAGATGAGGAAAGATCATAAAAAGGTGTGCATGTCTCCAAGTGCTTGCACATGCACGTGTGTGTGTGTGTGTGTGTGAGTGAGAGAGAGAGAGAGAGAGAGTATATATCACCAAGACTGTGTATTACTCACTTGGGAACAATTTCCACACTTGGGTCCAGACCATGATTTTCTAACCTTGAAACAACATTGAACAGAATTTCAGAGAGAGAACCCCCATAATTAACATAGGAAAATGGAAATAATTAAGCAGCAAGCTAGATACCTTTGGCTGGGTAAGTTTAAAGGTTTTGGAATAGCAACTTTTCCCAAAATAGTCATGCCACCTCTTCTGGTGGAGGACGCCCACCTGCAACAATGACCAAACAACGTTAACGCATATAAAGCTGTCCACAAACTATGAAATAGCATAATTTAAAAATTAAAAAACATAGTTTTTTACAATACTTGAACAGAATTACATTAGAAGATGGAGGAAACCAACACATGACTCCTCTGATAGACACTAAAATATATATATACACAATAGGTGTACTGAAATCCATCTTGCATACACTTGGAAGGCACAGGTAAAAACTCACAATTCAACAACCACATAATATAAAAAGAATCAGAACGTCATAGCCCTCAATAATATATATGCCAACTGCTAGAAATTATTTAAAACAACAAAAAATACATAATTAAAATTGGAACAAGATCATGATTTTCCTTTTAATAAGTAAATTTGAAACAAGGTCATGCTATTAGACATTTGCATGTAGAAACATTAACTCCCCAATTAGACATCCACAGAGGGAATGGTTTGTCCATAACCAAATGGATGCCCAACATAATAAATCTCTGATACAGAACATATCTAGGCAGATCTTGTAGAGGAATTATAGAAAGAAAAGAAGGCAAACACAGTAACAGACACAATCTTTGATGTGCCCTAGAGAACACCACAACTAAAAAGAGTGGAAATATATTGCCACAACAAGGTTAACATGGTTCATGAAAAAGTAACCCATGTCAGAATGAGATGAGAAGATCCACCATCACGATAGATGGACAATGGTAAACTCATTACCCTCACATATGCTGGCAATGATGTTGCATAATTATACATATTACCTAAATTAGTATGAAGCAAGAAAAATCAACACAAAAACAAAACTAAGAGGATTCTCGGCAATCTTAAACCACATGTGATGTAGCTAATCCATCAGGCTGCAATTCAGAATTCCTTGTGAAGGAAGACAAGAAAAATAAAATTCTAATATCTTTGATTAGGGTAAAAACAAATAAACAAAAATCATAGAGGTTACAATAAGAAAAAGTGTTGATCCATTGACATGTATACTTAATGTAGGAATTGAAAACATCCTAAGACATCTAGGCTTCTACAATACAATACATTCATACATTCATATTAATAATCAAACCCGAATCGAGCGAGTAAAGCTTCTTTCCCTCAGCCAGATCCCACAACAAAATAACCCCATCTTTCCCACCACTCGCACACAACGACCCATCGGGCGACACGGCCACCGTATTCACATACCCAGAATGCCCAGCAAGCGAAGCCCTAATCTTACAATTGGTCAACTTCCAAATCTTCACAGTCTGATCCCAAGGCGAAGACACAATCGTAGGCTGAAGATTATTAGGGCTAAATCGAACACAACTGACCCAATCAGAATGAGCATCACCATCCCGAATCGTGTACTTACACTCACCCAAAGTGTTCCACAGCTTGATGGAGCGGTCTCGGGAAGCAGAGACGATTTGGCGGAGAGTGGGCACCAATTGAGGGCACCGATTGAGAGGAAGAACACAGAAAGGGTGAGGGCGGACCGAGAAACAAAGAGAGAGGGCACCGATTTGATTTTTTTTTTTTTTTTTTTTTTTTTTTTGGTGGTACAAAACGACGTCGTTTTTAAATTAGCGACCAAATTTATTTGTTGCCAAAAAATTTCAATTCCCGTCCCCACTAAAAATCAAATTTCCCTACCAAACTTTTGGCGACCAAATGACCATATTAGTCGCAGAAAATGTACCTTCGCCGACAAACTTTTTTAGTCGCCAAATCTCAATGAACGGCGACTAAAATATTGGTCGCTAAAAATACAAATTTGGCGACTAATTTTTTTTGGTTGCTGAAAATAAGTTTTTGGCAACCAAATTTTTGGTCGCCAAAAAATATGTGACCTTCCGCGACCAAATTTGTAGTTGGTCGGCAAAAGTATACCACTTTCTGCGACCAACTCATTTTTTGGTCGCCAAAATATAACCTTCTACGACCAATAATATTTGGTTGCCAAAAATAATGATCATTCGCGACTAATTAATATTTGGTCGCCAAATGTCATTTTTTTGCGACCAAAATTTTTTTGGTCGGCAAAAGTGGTCGCCAAATGTGTAAATTCTTGTAGTGCAACGGCTGAGAGACAGAGAGAAAGAGATTACTGGTCCATTCTCTTCTCCATGCATGGACAATGAATAACATATAGAGGATAGAGTGCGTCCCCATGCGATGATACAGAAGCCTAATAGCATGAATAGAATTGGACCCTACATTTATACTACACTAGTTGGACTCCCACGCGCTCCGCTCATGGGAGTTGTGCTATTGTTGACTGAGAATAAAATGCGTCATAATATATAGTATTATTAAGGTGTTTTAAGATAATTTTAGGGTCGTAATATCAGTCTACAAATAAACTTGATAAGATACAAAAATCTGAGCTTGGGAGCGTTAAATTCAAATTAAGTATCATCTTTGTATAGAAAAAAAAAAGAAAAAAAAAAGAGTAAAAAGAAGACACTTACCAATCAGATCTATTAATTGGACTTATTTACCTACAGGTCCTATTCACAAATTTATCACTGTAAATTTATTCATAAAAATAAGAGAGATTGATAAATTTATCAATATGACTTAATGAATAACGAGTCCCAAAAATAGAATTTATTGGTAATTTATCCTAAAAAAAATTGCAAATCAGAAAATCACATATTAGATTGTCATGTTTGACAGATGGTTTAACCATAAAAATATGTAACTTTGTTTGTCCGTTGTTGTTCATTGGTTGCTTGCTTGAGTGATTAGGTTGAATGAGTATAACCAAAGCAATTGCTAATTTCTTCATTGTGTCAACTACTCAAAAAAACATTAGAACCAAATAAAT